TACAAACAGTGTGAAAAGCATGCTTTTCATCATTTGCATCAGTGGCTTCATTTTTAGGCATGTTTCTGCAGAGCCAAACCCACCCTTCAAGCAAAGGGCATGCTGAAGCACAGACTCTTCCTCAGCTCCATTTTTACTATGTTGCACTCCCCTCCTCCCCACCCTGCTTTATATCATTTTGGGAAAATGTCTTCCTTGCAACCCATTATTCCTAATTTGCTATCAAAATTATAGCTCATATTCACTACCAGCTTTAGGCATGTTTCTGCAGAGCCAAACCCACCCTTCAAGCAAAGGGCATGCTGAAGCACAGACTCTTCCTCAGCTCCATTTTTACTATGTTGCACTCCCCTCCTCCCCACCCTGCTTTATATCATTTTGGGAAAATGTCTTCCTTGCAACCCATTATTCCTAATTTGCTATCAAAATTATAGCTCATATTCACTACCAGCTTGAATGGCATACAAACAGTGTGAAAAGCATGCTTTTCATCATTTGCATCAGTGGCTTCATTTTTAGGCATGTTTCTGCAGAGCCAAACCCACCCTTCAAGCAAAGGGCATGCTGAAGCACAGACTCTTCCTCAGCTCCATTTTTACTATGTTGCACTCCCCTCCTCCCCACCCTGCTTTATATCATTTTGGGAAAATGTCTTCCTTGCAACCCATTATTCCTAATTTGCTATCAAAATTATAGCTCATATTCACTACCAGCTTTCATAGAATGGCCTGGGCTGGAAGGGAAATGGAAGACCATCTAGATCCAATCCCCCTGCCATGGTGAGGAACACCATCCACTTAACCAGCTTGCTCAGAGCCCCATCCAACCCGGCCTTGAACATTTCCAGGCATCCACCACTTCTCTGGGCAACCTGTTCCAGTGCCTCACCACCCTCACAGTAATTCCTTTCTTCCTAACATCTAATCTAAGCCTAGTCTCTTCCAGTTTGAAGCCATTCCCCTTGTCCCATCACTATATGCACTTGTAAATAGTCTTTCTCCATCCTTCTTTTAGGCTCCCTTCAGGTACTGCAAAGCCACAATTAGGTCTCCCTGAAGCCTTCTCTTTTCCAGGCTGAACAACCCCAATTCTCTTAGCTTTTTGTCATAGAAGTCCTCCATCTCTCTAATCACTCAGTTCATGACTGCCATTACTCAGCTGTTGTCAGTTAGGCACCTTTGTGCTTATACAGTCCCCGAGGAGGTTGTCAGAGAAGTTTTCACAGAAATGTTGTAACGTGCATCATTTGAGCACACCAGCAACTCGTCTAACTAACTCACTTATTTTCCACCTACTTCTGCCAGTTCCCTTACTCTTGGATATCTTTAGAATAAAAGTTGGCATTGTAGAGTATGTTTGCTCACACGTCTTGCACAATGGAAAGCCCTGTACAGACACACAAACTTGTGAATGATGCAGATTTAGTAGGTAAGACACTCAGGTTTTACCTTCACTTTTCACCATGGAGCTGCTCTTTTAAGTCCTCTCTAAAGTGGTATCCTGCAGGTTCCTGAGAAACTGCACTGTAGTTTCAGATGATTCCAGATGCAAAGTTGCAAGTGAGTAAGGATATACAGAGGCAATGGAAAAGCCTACACATTCTCAAGTGTAGCTTGAGTTAAATAGTTAAATAACAAGAAAAAAAAAAAGTAACACGTACCTCTTTGGGTTTTTAGCCACTTCTCCTTTAATGGCAATTGTGCATCCTGGACAAAGTGCAGTGTCAAGTTTCTGAACGTACGGAACAGCCTGGAAGTACAACACCAGTTAAAAATCTGACTGTGACTTTTTGCAATATACAAGCTGAGCTTTACTTGGGCAGGAAGAAGTTTGGCCTACAACAACAAATCTGCACTTAGAGCCACAGTTATTTCTACCAGCATCTTTTGGGATACCAATGCTGTAATGGAAAATTTACACTGATAGAAACATATAAATGTGTCAGGTTTTTCCTTTAGACTACCACCTTAGGTTCAAAATAAATGTTATTTACAACTACTTCTGCCACCACTAATGGGTGAGGGGAAGAACAAAAAATTAACCATGAAACTCCCTGCAATAATTTAAATTTGGATCACATAATTCTTCAGATACAGCCATCCTGACCTCTCCTCTCTGAAAGCATCGGGTTTTCTTTAAAGAGAAGGACTCATGCTGGGTGTGTTCTTGCCCCAAGGTTGCATAAGTACTAGAATTAGGGTCACTGAGTATTCTGTCCTCCTGGCAGCAGTTCATAATGATAGATAGTGCAAGTATTTTATTTGTCTTATTTTTTCATTGTGATAGAAGTTATTTTTATCAGGGAAAAGGAGTGGAGAAGTACTTCACCTTTCTGGTTTTGTTGAGGTCTACCACTTGCATATTAGAATATTACATATTATTTGGTTTAGAAAAAAGACTGAAGAAGGCAGGCTGTCAAGTGACAGAGCATCTAAAATCATAGCACTCCTTGCAACTTCACCTTCTCCATAAAACCTGTTTGTATATATTCCTGGCTTTCAACCCCTTTTCAGTTTGGGCATGGTCTTTACTCCAGCCTGGATACAGCCCACCTGGACAGCTTTTTGCAAAGATGAGCACTCACTCTGTCTATGCTCCATGTTAGCTGGGTGCAAGTTCTAACCCCAAGGTGCAATGCTTGCATCCAGCTACCCTGAAGTGCACACAGGGTCAGCATGAATCTGTCAGCAAGAGGAAGATGCAGCAGACAGGTTTCACACACACATTAACATAAGGCCAATTGCTGTAATATGACTGCATCATACTTTTGTTTTGCAGGTATTACCAATGGCAGAGAAAACAAAGTATTCTTATTTGGCAAAAGGTTTTGAATGTGATTTGGTCCTTTAAAACTTGAGGTACCTCACTTTTTATTTCTCTGTTTATGGCTGTGGATGCTGTGTTTATCTTTTGGGTTTTTCTAAATGATTTAGCAAATACTGTTACTAGTAGCTAAGAAGAGAATTACTCTCTACAAAACCTCACTGATGATCATCTCCCAGTAGACTCTCAGTTCCCTTGTTCTGTGGATGTTTTTCATGAATAACTGAGAGGTCGTTTTTGTTGGTTTTTTTTACTCTTCATATTTGCCACAAATTTATACGAGACACTTACGAATTGTGGACCATTTGGCATTTCCCCCTACAAGAGAAAAAAAGAACATTACCTAGCTTATCAGACAACAGGGAGATCCATTCAACCTTTTACAAACATACGTACATTTTCTGTGTTTATCTTTGTTACTTCTAGAGATGATGGCTGAGAGCCTTGTAAAGACTGCAGAAAGAGAGATATTTAGGTGTCATTGCTAACATTAGAGAACTTCAGCATAAAGTTGGTTTAGAACCATATAAGGATCTGTGCAGCTTTGAAGCATGAACTGTTAATATGGAAATCTAGAGCTATCATAATGAAAAAGACAGCCAAACCCCTACAAACAACCACAGAAAAGTCCTGAAAATCAATTGCTGAAGCCAAATCGAGACTTCTGAAGACCAACTCATTACAGTCTGAATCTTTATTTAACAGTCAGAGCACTGGTAAGCCCTCAACATCTGAGGCTACCCACCGAGATTTCCTCCTTGAGGTAGAAATATCAGCATGCCAGGTCCACATGGAGGCACCTTGGGATTCTAAGCAGCCTCCTGCATCCCTGTCCTTTCCCATGCTAAGGATATATGACCAACACAAACATGAGAGACACAGTTCCAGCTTAGCTCTAGCAGACTGTGTTTTTAGCTTGTTTATTCCAGTACAAGCCTCGACCTTTCTCCTCAGAAAAGTGTATTAGAAGCAAAGACTATGAGGAAACAATAGCCTTTCTCCATTCCTTTCTTCTGCAAAGGATACAGCATCAGCAATCATAGACTAAACAAAGTGTATTGTTTTGTACTTGGGACAGAAACCAAACCACAGCACCTGCTTGCCCCCAAGTTCATCTTGAAGTCAGTCCTGCAAGACCAGGACACAGACAACTGTGCAAGAACATTATTCTGGCACCATGCCCAAGGACAAGTGATGGGGCCCATGAAAGTCTGTTTACAGCCTGTGCAAATGACCAGTGAGTAGACCTATGTTTAAAGCTTAGACCTCATTACATTCAGGGCCTTCGCCTTCTACCAACACAATTACTAGTCTGCTGACCTGAGTCAGACCTGATGTTTGGCAGCAAGAGACCCAAGCTTTGCCCACAATGTAGCAAGCATGGGCAGGAGAGACCCAGAATGTTACACAGGAGTAGGTAGGCTGTCTTACTGAGTGGCAGGAAGAAGGGAAAAGGCATTCATGTTCTGCATCTCCCCAAAATTTATCACCTTCAGTTTCTGCTCTAAAAGTCTCACCCTTCCAAACCAGAAGGTTATCTCCTTCTGCACAGGGGAAAATGTTCAACTCCTCCCTGTTGGTTTACTTTCTCTAGCAGAGCTGGCAGCTGAGAGGAAGCACAGCACTGTCTTCACTTCAAAGGCACGGCAGGTCCAAGTACAAGCCAAGCTACATCTTTGAGAAAGGACACCTCTTCTCATCCCCCATAAATAAATGTAAACTCCTACTTAGGACTTCATTCAACAGTTTGGTCATTTTAGCAGGAAAACCAGGGCTAAATGCACAAGGAGTTCCAACTGCAGCTGACCTTGGCATTTCATAGGTTGCTTTTCCAAGCTACAAGTTACAGCCATGGCTAAACTTGTCACTTAAAAGCACTGAATACTCAAGAGCTCATTCTAGAGCCCCTGCAATATCTGAAAAGTCTAATCCACTCCTAGATCTGGTATCCAATCAATTCTTATACCATCTGTCCTGTTAACTTTGTAAGATGTTAATTTTGTCACCCTTTTGCCTCTATCCTCAAGTCCAAAACAGGAAGACAGAGATCCTCACATGAGACTCACATGTTGAAATGTGGGGAAATCACAGTCTTGTTACTAACATTAGATTGTGTAGCTGTTTCACCATAAATCCTACTAAGTGGTTTAGCAAGACAGAGAAAAGGAATCAGACAAATCAGCTATCTACATAACTTACATTACAAATGAAATCTATGGTTTTTATCTGCACTTTGCCATATATTCCAAGAGTATCTATTCTTTCAAGGCAAATTCTGTGGTTGTAGAGCAGCAAGTGCTTCTTGTTTACAGCCACCTAAAGAGAGAGAGAACAAAAGAGAAGAACTGTATTAAACATACATTGCACCAGCCACGTATCAAATTGTATGCATGTATCTCTGTTTGACAGTGGTTTGGTACACAAGCAGGGAGTGTCCTAGAAATATCAGCCCAACCAAGTTCAGCTCGCCCATGATTCAGTCTCTCTCTCCATCACTATGAAGGAGATTTATTTGCCTACACTAAAATTTGCATTTCACATCTTTGTTTCTAGCACCTCATCATTTGCCACTGTAGTATTACCAATCTAATAGAATCTATTACTGGAGTCTAAAAGAGCAAGACAAATAGATCTCACACGTTCCCTCCGAGAGGACTGTTCCGCACTAGTCACAGAACAGGTTTATCCTAAGGTTAGCCTTTTGCACTTAAGGAGGGAAGGGTGGAGTAACCACTAGCCAGGGCAGGAAGTTACTTGCCTACTCATCCAACTTAGAGGGAAGCAATACAGAATTAAAGGCATGATTTAATTATCATTTCTTTAAAGAAAAGCTCTAAACTTTTCTGTGGCTAGACTATACCCAGGTAACAGTGAAACCAAGACTTCCAATATTTATTTTAATGTTATAAAATATATCTCTTTTATTGGCCTGACAACTGGCTGTGGATGAAGAATCGACACAGACTCACCTGGAATTTATCCTTTAAAATCATGATGACAATGTCGAATGCCTTCCCTTTTTCAAAGGGCATCTCATAAGTGATCTCTTCCCAGCCCCATTTTTCCCTCTCCAGTGTGTTGCAAACAATGCAACCAGACCTTTTGAAGCGGGGGTTGAAATGAAATGCCACATCAGCTCTAGGCTTTATGCTGCTGCCACACTGTAAATCCACCTGGAACCTAATTATAAAAATAAGACAAATCACATTCAGCTCAGCCTATCAAGAAATCACCTAAGAGGTCAGTACATTTGTGTTTTACTGTGGAGCCTCAGAACAGGCAGGCACTATGAGTGTCATTAGATAAGGGAAAAAACCAAATATATATATTTGTCCAACCCCTATACATTTGTGAAAGGTTCTCCCATGATTTATTGCAATGAATTAAAATAGTTAAGTATTTATTTAATGGTCATCACTCACACCATGTAAACTCCTCATCTACTGTGTCACTACTTCCCACCCATCATCTTCAGTATAAAATATCAAAAAATGACAAAAAAACATGACCACATTGTTGAATGAAGGCATAAGTAGGAGTTTATATTTATTTATGGGGGATGAGGTGTTCTTTCTCAAAGACTTTGTAGCTTGGCTTGTACTTGGACCTGCAGTGAATATGAAGTGAAGACAGTGCTGTGCTTCCTCTCAGCTGCCAGCTCTGCTAGAGAAAGTAAACCAACAGGGAGGAGTTGAACATTTTCCCCTGTGCAGAAGGAGATAACCTTCTGGTTTGGAAGGGTGAGACTTTTAGAGCAGAAACTGAAGGTGATAAATTCCCTTCTTCCTGCCACTCAGTAAGGCAGCCTATCTACTCCTGTGTAATATTCTGGGTCTCTCCTGCCCATCCTCACTACGCTGTGGGCAAATCTTGGGTCTTTTGCTGCCAAACATCAGGCCTTGCTCAGGTCAGCAGACTAATAATTGTGTTGGTGGAAGGTGATGGACCTGAATGTAATGAGGTCTGAAGTTTAAACACAGGTCTACTCACTGATCATTTGCAAAGGCTGTGAACAGACTTTCATGGGCCCCACCACCTGGGCAAAGTCAGGGTATGGAACCCCCATACTGGGCACAGGCACTAGTCCATACCTCTTTATCCCAGTTTAATTTAATTCCTTCACAAAACACATTTACCTATCACCTTCATTAGTCTTAGATAACCTCTTTAGACAAGCAGACATATGCTATGACTGGGAAAAAGAAAAGGGAAACCAGGGAAAAAAGTCCTCAAAAACCTGCCAAAGCAGGAAAAGCAAAAGAGAGAAGAGAGGATTGGCACAAAGCAAAAAATTACTCCTCCACTTCTCATCATAAAGCTTTCATTACCCACTTAAGCCTGCATTCACTCTGATGCTATCACAAGGATTTAGATCAAGCATTTATGTGCCATCTGAAGTAGGACCCCTGGAAACACTTTATCCATTACATTCTTGTTCACATGGTGACACTGCAAAAAGTGACCTCATAGTCACTACCTGTCTGCATCATCAGGAACAGTCCCATGTATCACGATCAGCTCTCCAGGGACAAGGCCACCAAGTATTGTCCCAACATATGGAATGATCTAGAAGAGGAAGGAAAAAAAATTAGGAAAAAATATTCCAATAACATTTTGTGGAAGAAGAAAAAAAACCCCACAATAATTTAAAAATTAATATTCTAATACTCAGTTATGTGGTGTTTTAGCATGTTAGAAGAAACACAATTACCCTTCAATTTAAAAGAAACCCCAAGAGGAAGGAAAAACCTGGCAAATGTTCACCTATGAAAACCAAGTGTTTCAGATACAATTAAAGCTAAAACTTTCCATCTTCCATTCCCAGCTCTCAACTGAAGAGTTGAGGCAATATTATATTGCCTCACTTTTCATAGATTTTAAAGAGGATTCACTTCAAATTAGGTCATTCCCAAGGGCTGACTATTATCGGCCCTTTGCTGGTACAAGGAGGCAACTTTCACAACCCTTGTGACCTCAGACTACAGCAGCTGCTTTTTTGCTTCTTGTTCCATTTTGGAAAACAGTGACAGCAAGAGAAGAGACTGTGTCACAGAGTGTCTTCCTAGTAAAAACTACACAAACAAACACCAAAAAATACCTCATCCTAGTGAGCTAGGAATTGCAAAGTGCACTGAAATAGCTCTCTTCAGGAATCTTGGAGTTTACAGTATCTACAATATACAGTCTGGCTACTTTTCCTTCTGTCTCAATAGCTGGAGAAGGTAACACATGCACTGAAATGGCAGCACGATGGGAGTTAAGTCAAGTCATATGAGGAGATATGTCAGTTAAAATAAAAACCCCAAACACCCCAGCACAGCTCACTGGCAAAAGCTCAGACATGCTGACAGAAGCCCTACCCTGATCATCAGCTGGTGAACCCAGCATTTCAGGAAGGGAGGGGAAGCACCTTAACATTAAACTGTGGAAGTTCCCAGAAGACTGGTCTGGAAGTAAAGCTGTAAGTCTGCATCACACCCCATGTGCTTTAGATTGAAAAAGGAAGTAAATGGCAGCAAATGTTGCATTTGCTCTGCTTAACAGAAAAAAAATATTTGCCAAGGTTAGTTTTGGGGGTTTTTTTCCCCCCAAAATCCCTGACTTATGGAACAGTTTATAAGATTTTTGGACATCTGTGAAATAAAACATCAATTGCAAACAAGAGTTCCAGTAATTTGACAACAAAATTAATGACCACACTGGAAATACTACTCTTGAATGGAATATAGTTTGTCCATAAAAGGATAAGTGGAGAATTTTATTTTTAATATATATATATAATCACATGAAACAGGAAGATACGAAAAGAACATGTGTTTATTGACACCTATTCTTGTCAATTTTTGAGGAAGGAAGGAGGACTGACAGCAAAAATTGTCTAAGTCCAGAGTGTTGATTGTTTCTGCCAGCAGATACACATCCTTTTCTGCCTGCTCTTCACTTTCCTTCTCAGCTACCCACACATTGCACAAAACCTAATTCGCAGTCATCTTCTACATCAGGTAAAACAAACCCAAAGAACTTGCTTCTCAAGCATGAGCTCCCAAATGGTCAGGTTGTTTTAAGTCTCATCATTTTTACTGGCCTAAGCAGTGCTGCAGAGGACCAAAATGGGAAATTAAGTGTTAAAAGTGAAAGAATAAATAGTTTGAAATCCCTCTGGTAGTACCTTGGTTCCTAAATATATAAGCTGCACACAAGAAGCTAATTTTTATTCAGAGAATAAGAACAACAATAATAAAAAGGAAAAAACAGATCTTGATTGTTTTAGCTTTACCACACTGCTCCTGAGGGGTAGTAGCTCTGAGTAATGCAGGACAGTAGCAAGTTACTGGTTCAGTCTCCAAAGATGAACCAGACAAACATACAGACACAGGCCAGGGACACTGGGACTTAACTGCTCCAGTGAAGCAAAGCTATTTACTCCTGAAACAGGAACTGTGGCAAAAACACTTCTTTACATTCAAAAGGATGCATTTATTTCAGAAGCTCAGACATGGAATCTGCAAGACCATAATAGAGCATTTCCTGAGTGCAATACTACAGACTTAATGAGCCTTTGTCATTACATGTCTGTAATTTCCTTATGTCTCAAGACACTCTTCTACTAATTTTTCCTCATTTATTAAGAATAATGCCTGTGACATGACATGATCTACCACCATCTCATCTCTCTTCTACACATCCAAAAACTTCCTATAAAGCCAACTGGTCAATGTCAACTGAGTTTTGAAGATGATGTTTCTAGTATGTGCCAGTTTTCATAAAACAAGACGACATGGTTTTACAGAGGAAAGGACTGTGATAACACAGCTTTCATCCAGCTTGCTGGGTACTGGACAGCTGCCCCCTCAGATGAGACATGACAATATTTCTTGCCAGATGGATGGAGAAAAGGGCATAAAGAAGAAAGCAGAATTTTCTGGATGACTGAGAACAGTAGAGTAGTGAAGAAATACATCTCAAGACTCAAACCTATAATCAAGCTCTTAAGTTTTACTGCTAATGGAACAATTCACCAAAGCAATGACATTTTCATAGCCTGCCATACTACAGAAGGACTGAGATTGGAATACACTTCTGGTGCCTCTAGCCTAACACCTTGACCATAGCACGGTACGGTAGAGCAGGCTGCTCACAGCCTTGTCTGGACGCTGTCCTGAGGTCATTGGCACAATTCTTCCCAGCTCTGCCTCCACATTCCAATCTCAAATATTCAAGACCTTAGGTTCTTGACCCCCTAAGCCATTGTTTACCTCTTTGAAGTCTCCAACCTAGTCTTCTCACCTATCATACTCATCAGTCTCCTTGCAGCCACTCAATTTTGCTGAACATTTGTCCTAAATACTCCCTAATCCTCTTCTTCATACCTCCTCTCCCACCAAAATCTCCATCTACAGTTTCATTTTCCTTTCCTTTTGTAGTTCAGTCCTTCTGCCTTCTTTCTAGTTAATCACACAGCTTTCCTTCCTCTTCTAGCTGGGTTCTTACTAAGGGGGTTGAAGGTACTCCTCTATCACCCCTAACTCTATCCACTTTGCAAGCAGTGAGCATATAGTGGAAATGAACAATCAGGTTCACCGAGGGCACAAGTGTGGGGCAGGTCAAAGCTGCAACAGACAAGGAAGCTCTGTGCAGATCTGCATTACTGTACATGCCACATAGATACTCAACAGACCAGTATTTTCAAAGGGTTCCAGCAGAGAATGTTACAAATACTACTTCCTGCAGGTTCAACAGAACTACCTTTTCCAAGACACAATGAAAAACACAGCTTCAACCCACCCTTTTAGGCACATGTCAGTGTCAGGCTGCTGTCACAGATCATGGGAATACTAGAGCTTTCCAGAAAAAGTCTCCAGACATTAAGCTAGGCAAACAATATTCTGTCATATCCACTCTCTGCAATTGCTGAATCATGTCAGCTCAAGTCTTCCCTACAAAACAGGATTTATTGTAAAGTAAGATATGAACTATAAAAAAAAGAAGTTTAATTCTTCAGAGTGAAGTTACAATCATCACAAAATAAACATTTGATGAAAGCTGCCAGGCACCACCCATGTTTGTAGAGAATTAGGAGCAAAAACACTGCTTATCATATTTTCACTTTCCAGCACAGTCTGCAGAAATGCCAGACATCTACTTAAATTGTGCATGAAACAGGATTACCCTCCAAGGCTGACAGAACCTCTATCCTGTTTTGGCAGTCCTGTGCATTACGTGTCCATTTGTTTACAGCACAATTTCTAAACACCATCAGCTCCTAGTCTCACCTGTGACATTCTCCCTCAAATATCTGAGCTATGCAGAGTTCTCAGTAACATCCCTGACTACACAAAACAGTAGCAACACTATTGACATAAAACAGGAAAGTCCATTTCCCAAGGGAGATGTTGTTGATGTGACAGAGGAGTTACCGGGTTACTGATTGTACTGATTGATTTCTGTGGTCCACCCAAGGACATCATCTTCCTTTCTCCAGTTTAAGTTCGTCAGTTCTCCGTGACCACTGCTGCAGTGTATTTAAAGGACTGACAGGGCAGCACCAAAGGAGGAGTCCCTTCAAAAAAAAACTGCTGCAGTGTATTTAAAGGACTGACTGGGCAGCACCAAAGGAGGGGTCCCTTCAAAAAAACCAAAATTTTAATTAGAAAGAAACAAAGTGACACATCATGAAGTGAAACCCTTCGAGGTATAACTTTAAATAGCACAAGAAATTAAGCAAACATCTTTGCAATAAATTAGCTGGAGTTTTGAATTACAAGAGTTAAGAGGCTTGCTTAAAGAAATAAGGTGCACTTTAACAAGGGACAGTGCACAGGCACACGATGTCATCAGCAGCTTCCTAAGATTATGTATATAGAGATAGAATCCCATGTAAAAATCATTATACAGGGGAACACTGAGAACTCAGTTCCCCTCAGCATGGCCTCAGTAGCTCTCTATTTGCAGCCGACCCGTGCCTGCAGACAAGGAAAAGATACACATGACAAAAGCAGTTTTTCCAAGACAGACAAACATTTATGTTTCCTTTACACTTCCTGTGCTATCCCTAGATTTCCCACAGCAGACCTTAGGGGATGACCTTGCCTTTTCCAGCTTTATCTTACCTAAAGTTAAGAGATACGAGGCAAAGACACAGCAGGGAAACTAAGGGTGTTTTATATTTCTTCCTCCAGCACATACAATCCCTGAACTCCACAAGTAATTACAGGAGTTTGTAACACTTGAATTAAATGCACAACATTAATAAGAAACGAAACAACAGCTCATGAGTATATCCAGCTACACTGCAACATCTTTAGCAAATCTTCTAACAAAGTGACCAAAATTCAGGGTCCAGTTCAAAGTACTAAATAATTATTTCTTGCATATTCTGGAGAAACAACTTAAGGTAGCATGCAAACTGCATGGTGATGACAGGGAAAAAGTCAAAGGTGAAGGGTTTTAGCATCATTACTGTGTGACAACTGCAAGCAATAACAGAAAGCAAAACAAACAAAACCACAACACCAAACCAAAATCTCAAGGTCTGTGACCTGTTCCACAAGGCACAGGGGTTAATGAGAAGTTTAAATGAAAAGGCTGCATAGAGACCTCATTACAGCCTTCCAGTATCTGAAGGAGCCTACAGGGAAGCCAGAGAGGGACTCTGTTAGGAGCTGCAGTGGCAGGACAAAGGGCAATGGGTACAAATTGAAGGAGGGGAAATTTAGGCTGGATATTAGGAAAAGGTTTTTTACTGTAAGGGTGGTGAGACACTGGAACAGGTTCCCAGGGAAGTAGTGAATGTCCCAGCCCTGGCAGTATTCAAGGCCAGGCTGGATGAGGCTTTGAGCAACCTGGTCTAGTGGGGAGGTGTCCCTGCCCAGGGCAGGGGGGGTTGGGACTAGATGATCTCTAAGGTCCATTCCAACCCCTAAAATTATATGACTCTCTCACTAATCTTCTGCAATGATTAAACAATAGAGTGGTCCATTGTGCAATATCTGGCTTATCTTATTGGAGATTTGGTCCAGAAGGGTATTAATTCTCCTACTTAAGACCAGAGTCTAAAATACAATTCAGAGAACATAAGGTGGCAACACGGTGGAGCTATTCTGCCCTTTGATCAACTCATGGAATACCACCACTTTTGCCTGTGCAGGCAAATTCCACTGTTTTCATTTTTAAAAGGAGAAAATCAAGACCAAAGCAAACAATAATTTTGCCTTTACCACTGTAAAGTGCAAGAGCAGATCCCACAATAATGAAACCCAGACCTGGAACCCAGCAGCCTGAATTTCCTTGTGTGCAACAGCAATCTAGATCGTGCTGGGAGAGGCTCCTGGAACAGAAGTGACTTATCAGTCTTGGCAGACCAGGTGGCACTATGACAAAGCAATGAGTTGAGGGTTTGGGGCTTTTTTTGTTTGCTTATTAGTTTTTTACTGCCGAAGTCACAACAATGGGGGAAAGCTCCAGTTCCGGCTCCGAATCCGGAGACAGAGATCTGCTGTCCTCTGCTGTGGGAGGAACTGCTGTCAGTGCGGGTTACACCAAACCTGCAGCACTGCTCGTTAAGGTCCCCTGGCTACACTTTTAGAACCGAGAAAGAAACACATGGCTTTCCCGGGATCTCACACACTACGAAGAGCTGAAAACCTCTTCGATAGAAAACCAGGAAACCACTGGGGTCAACAATCAGCTATTCCACTGTCCCGCTGTGGCAGAAACGTCCTTCAGGAAGGTAACTCGGGTCAGACTACAATCAAAGCTAGATTTTACACCTGTGCCAACGAGGCTCCTGCTAAGAG